GCCGAACTTGCCCCCCGCGTGCAGCACCGTCAGCACCGTCTCGAGGGCCGGCTTGCCTGTCTTTGCGTGCAGCTCGCAAGGGATTCCGCGCCCGTCGTCGGAGACAGAGATGGCGCCGGAGGCGTGGATGGTGACGTTGACCTCGGTCGCCCAGCCGGCGAGCGCCTCGTCCACCGAGTTGTCCACCACCTCGAAGACCAGGTGGTGCAGCCCGCGCGACCCCGTCGAGCCGATGTACATGCCCGGCCGCTTCCGCACCGGCTCGAGCCCCTCGAGCACGGTGATCTGCTCGGCGCCGTAGGCCTGCCGCCGCCGCTGCGGCGGCGGCGGCTCCTCCGGCGCGGGCGACTGCGACGCCGCCGTGCCGGCCGAGGGAACCGCAGCGCAGGCCACTGTGCCACTGCGTCTCTGCTGCTGCGCGAGGCGGACCCGGGCGTGCGCGACGGATGGGTCCAGACGGGCGGCCGGCACCGTCAGCGCGGCGCAGCCACAGCCGGTGGCGGCGAGCACGGCGAGGGTCGTGCTGACGAGGCGGGGCGCTCTCCGGGTCATCGAAGCCTTCACCGGCGACGCTGGCGCCGGCGACGCTCTCGGCGGCAAGCCACCGGGCTGGCAACACCGAAAAAATTCACGCTACAATTCGCGGTTACGCACTCTTTCGTGCCACTCGCTCGCGGGTGCGCGGGGCATGGCCTCCCGCGCGGCTCGCGCTCACTCGGCCTGCCTCCGCCTCACGGCTGGCTGAACACGCCATGGGTCCGCCTGGTGCGGCGCTGCTCGCTCGCTGCGCTGCAGAAAGCTGCGAGAAGCAGGGTGGCCTCCTGAGCTTGAGCATGGCGCAGCGCGGCTGCTGGTGCTCGAGGGCGGCCGTGCAGTGGCGTGAGGGCCTGATTGGTGGTGACCTCGTGCTGCTTCAGCGTGTGCAGCATGCTCCCTTACCCGGTGCTGAGACATGCTGGTGGGCGACTGGCGCCAGCTTCTCAGTGCTGTCCCTGGCGTTGTGCAGCATGTCGCAATACTCCTGCTGCGCTGACCGGCGCGAGGGGCGCGTCGTGCCGCGAGTGGAGCGAGAGGCTCGAGGCGCGCGGCTGTCGGTCAACCCTGCGGCGCATGCGCGCCGCCAAGGCTGCTCGACAGGCGACTGGCATTGTGGCGACGCGGTCGCCGTTACTCCAACTTTGCTTTGCCGATCAAAAGCGCCCGTCCTTTGCTTTTTAGCCGCCGAAATTTACGGCCGACTTCATGGCACAGGGCGGCACCGAGCTCGCGCCGATGAGCACGACGTCCGATCTCTCCGTGGCGATGCGCTATTCTGCGAGCTCCCACGCGGTGCTGCTGCGGCTCATCACCGAGTCCTTCTACGAGAGAGGGCCGGATATCTCCTTCCTCTCCGCCTTCCCCGGCGAGGCGGAATTCCTCTTCCCGCCCCTGACTTACCTGCAGCCGACCGGCGACGTCGAGACGGTGGTGATCGGCGGGTACACGTTCGAGGTGGTGGACGTGCGGCCGCGGATTTGAGGTATGGGAGGCGCCGAGGCTGATGTGTGAGTGTTAGAGTGGTTTGGGTATTGCTAAAAATATCTCTCTCTCCGAGGCTCGCGCAGTACGAACGAAAGCAAAATCGAACTCTTTTCCTTGGTGTACCTGTCTCCTGTGTTTTGTGTGTTAGTGCCAGTGCGCGCCAGTCCCGTGCGTGCCTAGTATGTGTGTATCGAAGGCGAAACACACAATTACATGCCAGATGCTAGTAAGATTGGACGGACGGAAAAACACCCCCCTTTTATGCCTGACCCTGGCCATGGCCTCTCTGGGGGTGAGCTGGGCCGGCCGCCTCCGGGTCCGCCACTCGCACGGTGGGCTCGCGTCCGGGAGAGCATCCGAGACCCGCGGTTGTCCGCTCGCTGGGCGCGACCTACATGGAAATCCACTGCACACAGATCTGTGCTTTTGGCGCCTATTGCTCGCTCTCTGTGCAATC